CCCCATTGCGGTATGGTTTTCAATATAGGAATTATATTCCGCGAAATCGTTTGGGACTCATTCCCTCACTGCGGAAAATGCCTATCGGAGACTCGGAATGTTTCATTTTGGATCCGTGCGGAATTCAGATATTCCTTCTCTGCCATTCCCGTGGAACCAAACACAATAAGAAAGGGGATAAGCGCTTCCTCACAATGCCAACTGACAATAAATATCGTTATTCTCTCTACACGTTCTGTTGCTGGATGGGCCACGGTCGCATTTCTTCCAGTGAAACAAAAAACGTCCGGTTTCAGGTTTCAGAATTGAAATTCGAAACGATACACGAAAAATAAAACTCGCCTCAGGAAGCTCTGGAAAGAAGGAAATGATCAAAATAATGTAAACGCATAAAAGCTGTCTCATAAAAAAACACCGCAAGCTGCCCAGTTAACAAAGGATATCTCATGGATATCCATATCAATTCCTATTCAAGGCGGGATATATACAGTGTCCCACTTACCATGTTCACCATGGGTATCTTTTTAACGGTGAGAGATACGAGGTCGGTTAAATTACACCAAATGTGGAGTTTGTCAAGGCCAACTTCAATGTGAAAAAAAATTTTGATAAAATCTATTCGTTTTTGTTTTTTACGCAAAAAACAGATTTTGATCATTTTCATGTCTCCTCCGTAACTTCTTTATTTATGAAAATATTCGAATAGAAATTTCACATTCTCATGGCAGTTTTTCAAAGTGATTCCGAAAAAAATATGAAAATTATACCAACTCTTCTAGACTTTGAGATATCAGCACCAACTTTGGTTTTTCAAATGTAGGTCATAGCTCACTATGACTTAGTCACAAATAACTTTTTTTTCTCTCTCAGATGATGTGTCGCAGTAATAGTTTTGTGTTGATAACAACGGAGTTATCGTCATTTATACAAAAACAAAAAATTATTTGGAAGCCGCCATCTTGAATTTATGAATTTTAACAAAAAAATCATGATCTCCGACCTCAAAAACCCCCACTCACCAATTTTGAATGGAATCGGACCAGATCTTGTCCGCCATCTTGGAGCAGCCATTTTTTTTTAATTTCAACAAAAATTCCATAACTCCGATTAACTTGGAATTTGGCAAGTGTTCATAATTTCGGTGACAATACGTTATGGAATTCTTGTTGAAATTAAAAAAAAATGGCTGCTCCAAGATGGCGGACAAGATTTGGTCCGATTCCATTCAAAATTGGTGAGTGGGGGTTTTTGATGTCGGAGATCATGATTTTTTCGTTAAAATTCATAAATTCAAGATGGCAGCTTCCAAATAATTTTTTGTTCCTGTATAAATGACGATAACTCCGTTGTTATCAACACAAAGCTAGGAGAAAAAAAAGTTATTTGTAACTAAGTCATAGTGAGCTATGACCTACATTTGAAAAACTAAAGTTGGTGCTGATATCTCAAATTCTAGAAGAGTTGGTATATTTTTTCATATTCTTTTCGGAATCACTCTGAAAAATGGCGATGAGAATGTGAAATTCCTATTTGAATATTTTCATAAATAAAGAAGTTACGGAGGAGACATGAAAATGATCAAAATCTGTTTTTTGCGTATAAAACAAGAACGAATAGATTTTATCAAAATTTTTTTTCACATTAAAGTTGGCCTTGACAAACTCCACATTTGGTGTCATTTAACCGACCTCGTATCTCTCACCGTTAAAAAGATACCCATGGTGAGCATGGTAAGTGGGACACACTGTATATATGGACATAAAATGTATATCAATAAGATATCCGAATGTGGATGTACTTGAGATATCCGAAACAAACGTCCTGAATACGTCCATTGGATATCCATAAGATACAGAGACAAAAGATCAATACCTAGAAATTTAAAATCAAGTATATACAATGAATGAAATGATAAATAAATAAAAGGAGATTCACAAAAGTAACACTTGTGCGTGGGTCTTTCAAAAGATAGCACACGTTGTGATGTACTATCTGCTTTTATTATTGATTCAGTTTTCAAAAACTGCGAGAGGTGGCGTAACGTCTCGAATAGTCCAAGATTGGTGAAACTGATGATTATTTATAGATCATCGATTCTACCAACCTTGGAATAGTCAAATAATGTCAATCTGTTCTCATATTTGATTAATTTGAAGTGAATTTGGAAGTGATTCCTACGAATTCGTCCAAAATTGATGATGCATAAGAACTGACAACAACATTATTCGAACGCAGTGAGACGTGAGTGCTTTCCAATTTTTGTGATATATAAAGTATACTATCTCTTATCCATATCCATAGTGGATATCTTATGGATATCTATAATGAATATCTTTAGGACACCCAAACAGGTCACACTGTCACATCCTATGGACGTCCATAAGATACACCAGAGCCTTTTTCGAATATCTCATAGACATCCACAATATCCATGATGGATATCCATACTATATCCATGAGATGTACTTGTGCTATATGGGCCCTAATAGCACAATTATGCCCCATGGACATCCTTAAGACGTCTCGTCGGGACATTCATGACGTCCATGGGACGTTTGAATTTGATACCACGGACGTCCATCGGACGTCTGTGGGTCGCACAAATGTCTCACTTGAGGACCAACTAGGGATGTCCTCAAGGAATGTCCCTAGGGCAACTATCGAAGACATCCGTAGTAACCTATCAGCAATGCTGAGGAATATCAATTGGATGTCTATGGGATTTCCCAGGGATGTACTAATTTTTCTCTAATTCGAATTCATTTGGATATTCTTATGCCCAGATCTCGTATAAATGTAACATTAGATCCTGAAGAAGGTTTCCCATATTCGATATGTTCCTTATTCCTTCATTGAAAGACTTCTCGACTGGTTATATCGACTCCTTAGATTTTGATACGGGGTGAGTTGAAAAACCTATAGAAAAATGGAAATATGCCATGAAATAACTGTCACCGCGTTAAGATTTTGTATCGGGGTATCTCAGCTATGCCTGATGGATCGAATAAGCTATCCATTTTTTCGTAAAAATTTGCCTGATTGTCGTTTTTGAAAGGTTGATCTTGTCAACAAACAATATAATAGGAGTTGAGGATCTGAATATTTCAGGTGATGTCCACACTTCCGAAGAGAGCATTTTTGTCTTAGAAAATCGGTCAATGGGTTCTAAATTAGAACGGTATCGTAAGTTGAATTCTCACAAACTTTATATCACCACAATTCCATATACGATTTCAAAGAATGATGAACAAAGTTATGGTGAGAAATACAACAAATTAGAACCATTTCTTTCAATTTTTGAGGTTTCTCTCCTTGGTCTCCACATAGATTAGTAGTAGATAAGTATCAGACGAATTGCCTAAAATGTTATTGAACTAAAAATGTTCCTATCAGGAGTCTAAGATAAAAATAATTCAATCGATAGTCAGTGACACCTCATTAGAAAAATGTTCGGAAAAGAATCAATAGTACAAATATAGAATTTCACTCAATTTTGGACGTTTCAGAAAAAAAGACCCTGATGCCCCAGTATTCAATATAAAAATGTTGATTGATCTTGGGTTCACCATTCTCACATTCAGATTCAATAACTGTACATAAGCAATGTTTTCAACTGCATTTAGCAGAATGCAAGCGGATTCATTGATTCATCTTCTGTGATCGTTATTTTCTGTTTCCTCAATGTGTTTAACGTTAACTTGAGCATAAAATATCTCTCTAATTTTTTTACGCGGCAACTCAAATCAACAATAGTTATTTTTGTATCTAGTGCGCAAAATGCTACTTTTGTGATCAAGACCTGAATTTTCTGACAAGGCGCAGCCTGACCAAAGTAATTCGCGCACGAGTTGCAAACAATTCTTCTTTCTGCAAACGTCAAAACATATAATTCTGAAGTGGTAATTTGCTCATAGCCCAAATAAAAAATATTGTTGAACTGGCCTAAAAGGCCTCTCCCTATCCTCCCTACGCGCGATGTTCCACGAACATTATAGGAATTTCCTTTCGTGTGGTCCAAGAGATGAACAAAAATTATTGTTTAACATTCGGAAATACATGATTTCTTGGATGTTTGCTCAAATGAGCATTATAATGAACTTAAAATATAAAAATCTCATATAGTTTACATTCAATGCGCGAAGTATGTACTTCATGCATCGTTTTACTTTGCGCACTGCTTCGCACATAGTGTCGTGGTAACGTAGAAAACTGAAAACAAGTGTCACTTCGCAATTTGTTATCAATGCGCGAACCTGTTCATTTGTTGACGTTTGTAGAAAAATATGAATAAACGTAGGGGAAACATTTGGTCTCCTAGAATGTTAAGAGTCAGATAATGATTGCCTCAATTAAATCATCCATTCTGGCTGAATATTAACGATATATCATGCACCAACAAATCTATACTCTAGCAACATTGTTGAATTAAATATGTGAAATATCCCAGGAAATAAAAATTTGAACTATTGTCAGAGCTATCGCATTAGTTATCTACAGTGATATTATAAAGAGGAAAGATTTGATTGTTTGTCTGTTTGTATTGAATAGAATCCGGAACTATTCGACCGATTTGGAATTTTTTCCACCAACAGAAGCCGACATTATTCCTGATGAACATAGGCTACTTTTCTCGGCAGAAAAATGCTTCGTTCCTACGGGAAAACGGGTAATAAAACAACGGGTAGTAAGAATTATCCTTCCATACTTATTTTCTTCACATAACTTCTTAACGGCTGAACCGATTGGGAATGAATTTTGAAGATATTGAGAGAATGAATGTTTTTTTTTCAAAATCGTATAAAATGAGAAGCACCCAAATCGAAAACATGAATCGAATTTGGAAACAACATTTCCAATGTTGAATAGGTATCCAATTTTCAACTTTCTCACAATCAATCGTGGAGGATTCGATATTTCAAATATTCTTTATCTCCTGATTGTTCTGAGGGTATGAAAAATTGCAGACGATTCAGAGTTCTAAAATCTATGTTTTTTTTCAGGCTGAAAAATGGAACAATTTGAACAACTTCTGACGTGTGCGATCTGCCTAGATCGTTACCGAAACCCAAAGCTACTACCATGTCAACACAGTTTTTGTATGGAGCCATGTCTAGAAGGTTTAGTCGATTACGTTAGAAGACAGGTTAGTTGGATATGGAGTAAAAGTTCATCAAATATACAGGGTGCTATTTGAGTATCTGGCCAAAATTCAAGGGGTGATTATTTGGGTGATTCTAAGACGAAAAGTTAATTTTTACAGGATGTCAAAGTTTCAATCGAGGTTTCAATACTTAAAATTCTGTGTTCCATTTTTGATGAAACTTAGTAATTCTGTTGATATCATCAGGAAGTTTTTTTGGGTGATTAGATTTGGAATAATGATTCCAATTTATGAAAAATAAGGTCATAGTTCTTTCCAAGTTCGATATATCCATCAAATTGAACAATGTGAGATACAACTTTCTTGTCCCTTATTAAATCTTTGTACCTATATTACTCAGTTTTTGAGGAAATAATGAGAGATTGATTTGTTCCCAGATTATAAAAAACTAAATAAAAATGAATTTGGAAATATTTTAGCTTTGATATTACGAAAGTATCTAGGGGTCACACGAATGAAATAAACTAATTTTTCGCAATATATATTGAGAAAGAATCGATGGATATCGATATATTGATATATCGATGATTATCGATTGTTATCGATATATCGAAATATTTATTGATATATCAGTAATTCTTCCCAGGCCTAATGAAGTTGTCAAGATATTGAAAATAACTTCAATTCACTTCAAATTGAGAAAAATGGTTTGTTATGCAATTTACTAAAGAACAAATACAGGAAAAATTGTAATTTTCACCTTTCCATGCAGTAAGCTCAAAGTTACGAGAGGCGTATTCGATGTGTCTTAACACAACATATCTGCACTATCCTGAAGAAAGTATTGTGAAGTATTGTGAAGTCGTAGAAAAAATATAGTGCATTTCTTGAGTTGTAAAGCGATTACACACTTGTGGAGTTACACATTCGTCGCTACTCGACATCGTCGTTATGTAGGTAATATACTATATTGTGTGCCATATTTTTCACGACTACATTAGATTCGATATTCGAATCTGTGTACATGTATCGAAGAGAAGAGAGATTTCATTTAATTCTCCTCAAGACATTTAATACCTGAAATTGAAACCATATACGTATAACTGCGAGGAAATCTTCAAATATGTTTTTTCGATATTGAAACTGAATTTGATTGATGATGATGAAATTTTTCATTCAATAACAAATCAAACCCCTAGAATTTCTTGCAGAAATGAAATTTTCCACCACATACCTATATACAGGGTCATTCCGTATATTTAAACAGCTCCTTTAAGGATCATCATTGAAGAAAGAAGATAACTTCATATACAAAAGTTGTAATGTTAGTTTTGAACCTTCAAAACATTGTACTAGATGGAACAAATGCATATATCGATGATAAGAGAAATGAATTATCATCAATGGAACTCCCAATATATTTTTCGAGATAATTCAAGATTACTCTCTCCTAGTTTCAAAAATTCATGAGTTATTAATGATATTCGGTTCATCCGTTTATGACATATCTGTGGTCGAACATTTTAGAATTAGTTATTCGCAGTTTTCGAGGTCATTATCTGACGTGGCGATGATGTTTAAAATGGAGGAAGACATTCTTAACTCCTCGCATTGATTGAAAGTTAGACATGTTGTCCACCAGTTTTATCGTCGTCGTAACTTCAGATGATGACCTTGAAAACCGTGCGAATAGTTACATATCCAGGTTTTCATTAATCAAATTTTCTGTCATATTTTCTTAGCGTATGTGTTGTTGATTCTTCATGGCAACAGCGGTTTGGTGAAACCTTGACTATTTTGAAAACGGCTGAACCGAATATCAAGAACCTATATGTATCATCATTCTCCACAAGGTGTTACTAAATATTGAAGAAGAATTGAAATGAAAAAATGTATCTGCCTTTCATGAAAAAGTTTATTTGATTCACATTTCTATTTCATGAATGATTAGACAGTGGAGATTTTGAGAACGAGAATTCTATACTCTTAATCAATTCATAAATATAATGGATTGGTATAGCGAAACAAATCGTGTCTCTGAGCATTTTGTGGTTCATCGTTTGCGAATTATCTGCAGAGAAAAAAAATTCATTGAAACTATAAAATTTTTGTAAATTCAACAGAATCTGAGTGTAACATATCCACGACAAAATATTTCTTCAAATTAACAGCAGGAATTAGTTGAATCAACAAAAACTATTTTGTTCCTTTGATACAATATCTGCCCTCACGAACGATTCTGTTAATCGAAATGATTATATCATTTCATTCAGTTTTTCAGAGAGTGAATATGTTAAAATAACAATATATATTCTTCGATCAAACAAATTATATTGAGAATTGACAAGACATTTTGCTGAATAATATTAAAAAAAATCTAATAACTGAATTTCAAAACTAAGAGAAATTAGAGATCAATTTCCTCAGTTGATTCAGGCTATTAGCTTGTATAAGCGTCATAAGAAACTCTAGGACAGCCCAGTATAATTATATGAACGGATTTTTTAGGTAGGTATATGTACACCCCAATCGAGGCGAGCGTAGGAAGGTTGGAAGAAACGCCACCTGGTGGCAAAAATGCAGCTCGATAATCATTCAACAAAATATTTGTTTGATATAATGTATTTGTTGGTTCTGTTCAACATAGTAATTGGTTTGAAATGACAACATATCTCTTGATAGTGTTGTGTTGAATCAAAAAAATATAATGTTGTCATAATCAACTCAATTTTGTCGATTAAAAAAAAACCTTTCGGTTGGTTGCACAATGAAATGATTGTTGACTCATTGAAATATGATGTTGTATTTAGTTGAATCTTTGTCAAAATCAATTGATGATTGATTGAACAATGATATAACAGTTGAATCCACAAAAATTGTTTTATGTCAACCATAAATGTTGTTGTATGAAATGAAACTTTTGAGCAAATATTTTAATCAAATCATTTCGTATCTTTGAATAGGTTGCTTGTTCAGAATGAACATATATTTTGTTAATTTCGCAAAATTGTGTTTAATTTAACAAAAAAAAAATGATGCAAAAGAAAATTTTTTTGGAGTGCAATCATTATAGCTGAGCGATGAAAATATTTCAAACTCACCTCGTAATATATCGTCCAAGTAGCCTACCTGAATTGTAATAAATTGATACTCACACAAATTGATTCAATTCAGCTGAAGATTATATATGTTTCCAGGTGAAGTGTCCAGAATGCCGTGCCGAGCACAGGATTCCCTATCAGGGAGTGCAAGGATTCCCCACCAATGTCACTCTCCAGAGATTCCTCGAATTGCATATCGAGATCACCGGAGAACTCCCGGATCCCACAAGCGGACAGATCATGGAAAGATGCAACGTCTGCTCAGAAAAAGCCTACTGCAGCTTCTGTTCGCACTGCGACAAAAAAATTTGCGAAGAGTGCAAAGGAGCCCACATGGAAATCTTACGCAGAGAAATATCCAGGATTAACAACCAAATCAGACGCGGCATCCACAGGCTCCAAGATACCCTATCGCTGGTGGAAAAAAACGCTCAGAACATCCAGACCAACTGTCTTTCCGTAGGCGAGGAAGTCGAAGAAATCTACAGGAGGCTCAACAAAGCACTCAAAGACCGTACAGACTACTTACGCGGTGAAATCGATAGGTACTTGACCACAGAAGTGCGTAGCTTGACCACCCTGAAGGAGAATCTCGAACAGGAGATTTCGAACATCCTCAGCAACTGTGACTTGGCCGATAAGCACATGAACGAAAACGTCGACATCTGGGACGATTGCGAATTGATGGACGCCAAAGAAATCTTCTTGAAAACGGTCGAGTTCATCCGAAACTTCGAATACGAAAATTCGGACTTCAGCAGAAAAGTTCGACTCATCCTAGCTCACGATCCCAACCAGCTGGTATTGCACGTGGCAGGTTTCGGCGATCTCAACATAGCGACTCCTGGTCACGTGGGACACACCTCCGGTCTGTTGCAGCCTCCTGGCGGACCGGGTTTGATGCGATCGAAGAGCGACCACCGACTCGCCTCGCAATTCAGGCAACAAGAAGAACGAGGATACGGTGAGAGGGGTTACGGAGACGACGAACAAGTACTGGGTGGTAGAAAGTTCGGAGATAGGTCCAAAACGACAACTACAGCCGAACCCACCAGATATGGCGGGGAACGGTACGGCAGAGGAGGGGGTAATGAGTACGGAGAGGATTACGACCATGACAGCAGACCTAGATCGAAATACAGCCGATTCAGGCGCCACCAGAACCCTGACAACGAATCAGATAGCGAGCAAACCACTCGAGGAGTGAGATTCAATGAGCACAAACAACCAGAAAGAGAGAGAACCCTCGATACCGAGGACGTGGCTCGCGGTCCTTTGAGCGGAATCACCCGACTAGCAGACTCTCCGAGAGTCATGAAAAAGATGCAGGATCACGAGAGCGGCAAGACGAAGAAGAAAGAAGAAGCGCCACCTCCGCAGCCCGCTCCAACCTCCAAAGTCGTACCGAAAAGACCTCCTCCGCCAGCTACCAGACAGGTTAGCGAAGAGGATGAGATATCCCGCATCAAAAAACAAAACAAAGGGGCAACCACATCGACAGAACCCGTCACAGATATAAGGCCGGCAGAAAGACCTGCGACCGAAGAGAGGCACAGGAAAACCCCTGCCGCCGAGGTGAGTCTGGATGAACCGTAACCCCTTACACGAGTACCTGATTAAATCAATTTTAGAATAGGAATTAAACTAATTAAATGTTGTTGCTTGAAGAAGAAAGATATATGAGAATATTGGCTCGATCGCACATTGGCATGTACCTCTACTCGACTTTCCCTTTCTGTGTTTGAATGTGTGAAGCATGAAGACCCCTAGAAAACCCCCTAGAAACCCTAATATAATGTTTTCTCCAGGCTGCTTCCAGTGCCGAAGAAACAGACGAACCTCTCAGCACTATTCAACAACCGCAGAGAAAAACGACAGCTTCCACTAAGACGGCATCTGCGGTAACCACACGGAGACCTTCGGATGCGAGCCACAAGAAAACCACTCGCTCAGCTAGTTCTGATTCGACAACTTCCACTGAATCATCTGCGGCTTCTTCGAACGCGGTACGCAATACTGGAGCTCCATTCACTACAGAAGAAGTCAAGCAAAAAATATTAGCGAAAACAGACACTGCTCCAACTCGCAGCAAAGTCACTTCCGGCAAAGAAACCCCACCACCGCAAAAACCCTTCCAGAGCAGGTTTCTCAATAAGCCCGCTACAGTGCCACCGCCTCCAGCCGTCGACGAAGACGAAACAGAGACCAGTTCCGAAGAAGAAACCGAAACAGAAGAGGAATCTGAAGATCACGCTCCGAAGCCAGACTCCCGGGAAATGGCCAAATCGGATATAGGGCCTTTGTTAGCCAGAAGTGCCAACGCTAGGGACAACGCTGAAACATCCAGACGAGCCAGCAGAGACGAAACGCCTCCATACAGTAGAACCAAATACTCCCCGAAAGAAGAACCACCGAAATACGGAAGAAGCAGAACCAGCGCCGTAGCAGATGAAGAACCTTCAAGATACGGGTACACCAGTCGATTTCTCAACAAGAGCAAAAGCTCTGCTGCTATTGCTGCTGAAGATGATGACCATAGCAGATACGGAGACGAAGACAGCAAATACCCGTCGAGCGGTAGATCGCGTTATATGGCCTTGAAGGAACGCAGACAGCGATTGGCGAGGAGCAGAAGCAGCCAGCAGTTTGGTGATGAAGAGGACGCTGAAGAACCTGTTTCTTCCGCGTCTACTAACCCTTCTGCCTACCTAGCATCCAGGTAGAGTCAAAAAATATGCGTGCACTAGATTTCTTTAGAAAATATTACCAAAATGAAAGTTTCATCATCTTGAAACTTCAATAAATATCTAAAGATTGGTCACCCAGAGGGCCAGAGATATACAGGGTGTTCCCTAATGACATGCTAATATTCAAGGGGCGATTTTTGGACCAATTTCAGAAATGAAACTTCATATGAACGTATGTCGTAAACGTCCTAACTTTTGAGATACAGGGTATCAAAGTTGAAAATATGCATAGATTATTTTTTTGATCACCCTGTATAGCTTTTCGTGACTGAAACGGTGGAAAAATTTCAAAATGTTACATACTGTGCTTATCCAGTAATTGATGTCCTGAATGGAGTAAGTACTCAGATTAGCATTTACATCAAAATTTGAAGTCTAGTCTCGCTTTTCCGTTTTTCCTCGAAAACAGAGCGTTCTATCGAGTATCAACAAGAGGATCTTTTTTGTACAGAATTCAATGGCCTTCCATAGGATTGTATTAAATTTGGTAATATTCCTTCGTTGCTCACTTTTGAGTGAAATATAAGCAATAATAGCCCCGAAACGGTGCCACAGGTAGAGGAAATGGAAATTTGTGTACATCAGAAAATGCACCTTGATGCATAGAAGAGATCAACTAAATTTGATGAAGATGTCTACAATATTATGTCAGTGATTATTAAAAAACTGTTTTTTTTTCAAAACTTCATCGCCCTGTATCCCAAAAGTTGAGACTTTTAAGACATACGTTCATAGGAAGTTTTTATCCTAAAATGAGTCGAAGAATCACCCCGTCGAATATTAGCATGTCTCTGAGGAACACCTTGTATAGGGTGTCCTTAATGGTCCCTAAAAAATGTACCACATATTCCTTCGACCAGAACAAAAAGATTTGAGCAAATTTACCTAAGTATGAAGTTGCTCAGGTTGGCAGCTAGACGTTCTGAAGTTAGCATTTTCGAATAGTTTTTGCTTGATCACTTTTACACGGCTAATGAGATTTCATTCGAAGTAAGTACGGTGGTATAGCTGAATTGAGCAATTAAACCCATAATTTGAATTCTTCAGTAAATGAACATCTAAAACTACTACGCTAATAAGAAGAAAAAAGTATGCTTATGAAATTCGAATTGCGTAACTTGTTTAGTACAAAGGAGTTATACTTGATGATATTCCAATACTTTCATGGTTTCGACTGAATTTGATTGTTATTATTATCAAGCATCACTCAACATTGAAACAATTGAATGATAATGTCATGAAAACTGCTCGAAATGTTTCATCATTTTCATGTATACAAAAATGGATATACAAGAAAACCCATCATTCATTTTTTCAACAACAAGTGCAAGTTGAACATTGACGTATTTCGGCTGTCTCTGCAATATTATTCCACTCTGCCATTATCACAATCATTGGATGAGAAGATAACAACCAGGAGAAAGAAATCAAGAAACCTGCTTGCATTCTTTTGAATGGAGACAATATAGCATTGCTTCTTGTTCAGTTGATGTAGATTCAACATGGTAATCACACTCTCTAGTATTCACTGCTAAAATCTGAACATGAAAATGTTGAATTCAAGATCAATAAATGAGAACATCCTGTAACTCATTTGTTTGCCAACGTCACAGGTTGTCATTGAAATATATCAAAACTAATACCTAAAGACAATTTCGGAGAAAAATATTTTCCATTTTCATGTCGAAAACCAAAGCAAATTCGTTCCCGTAATATCCAAACATACGTAAAAGTTTGATGATTTTTGTAATATATCCCTTTTTTCGAAACCTTCTTCCAAAGAAAAGTGCCACTCACAAACGAAATAATTTTCGTTTGGGGCTCTCTGATATTAGCATGTTCAAAGGTAGTGACCTTCTAGGGCAAATTATCTGGTATGTCCTCACTACACTACACATTTTCATCAATGTTGCGTCATGGATTTTTGGTATCAAACCTCCGATTCGGATTCAGAACCCCAAAAAACATGTTGAACTACCCCACAACTCTTTCTCTGGGGCCCTTTTGAGTACAAATTGTCTTGATCACTTGGACAATAAACATAAATTCTCGCATATATCTCTCTCTCTCTCAAAGGCTATGGCTCCACCTCATCCAGCAATGACCTAGCCAGAAGTCGATCCTCTCGCGCATTTGCCGGCCATACACGGAAACATTTTCCTACGAGGTTGGAACGTGACGCGCCAATCCTGCCCGAAAGAGCGCTCGTGTGTGTGGTGCAACGCGCCATTATTCCACGAGCCGTTCAGTCGTGCGGCGGTTGTGTTGACGCGTAAAACCACGTGCTTGGTGTTTGCAATTCTTTATCGTTTGTGGCGTCTGGTGCGCTAGGACTGATACATCACAGTATCTTTTTTGGTTAAATGAGGTCGCAACATTTTTTGTAGGACATCAAATGTTTCAATATTCATTCTCAAATAGTTTTTGAAATCCTCTGGATAATTCTCTCTCAGTTCTTTTAGGAGACTAACGTGACTATATTTATGTTTTTCAAGTAACCAAGTCTTTGTCCAATCCCGTCTCTTACGTCTTTTTTTTTCAACCAAGCTTGAGTAAACATAAACCATAGAACATGCAAGTACAGTTTTTTGTTTTTTGTTATTTTACATATTCCAGACTTGTAGTTTATGTAAGTATACGTTTTCACACTGAAAACTCCCGCTCCCCAGAGAAATTTTAGAATTCCTAAAATCATACACGCCACACTATCCCGCGCGAAAACTGACGTTTTTCTTCCACTAACTTAAATACTTTTCCTTTCACATCCGTACCTGCGCGATTGGTGCGCTATGAATCACTTTACGTTAGTGGCCAAATCCTCTACGTTCCAATCTCACGAGCTTGCCCGCATACTTTCCTGTCACTCCAATCCCGAGGGAAAATGTCTTGGTGTATGGGCACCTATTGAAATCCACAGATAAGACGGAGCCGCTCTGTCTATCACAACAAGATTTCACACAACGTGTTTGTCGATAACATCCTGCATCTTGGACATTGAAAAACATGAATTCTCTCTCTCTCTCTCAGAGGCTACGGCTCGAGCTCATCCAGCCACGACCTGAATTCTCTCTCTAAGAGGCTACGGATCGACTTCATCCAGCCACGACCTGGCCAGAGACCGATCTTCTCACGCTTTCAAATCCAGAACAACTCTCTTGACAGCGAATCGGCCGCTTCAGCAGTCGAAGGAGACGAAGCTATTTTGAGTTTCTGGGCCAGATATCTTTTTTTTTTTCATGTTCTGATTCCCACGAAAAGGGATATCCTGTGATGTTTTTTCAGAGAACATCGTGAGAACTGAGGAAAATAAGGTAGAAATTGGTGTTCTTCTTAAATTTCTGGAGGTCCTATGCCTCGGGGAACACCTCTCTTGGAGTAAAATTTCCAGCAAATAAATGCGCAAAATTGTTGGCTTCCTCCTGGGCAGTTGTGGCTAGTGTCCCATCTACCTTGGTTAGAGGAGGAAACGAGCTGAAAGTGAAGTTTCTTCCTACAGCTTTGGCGAAGTTCCAAAATGAACGGGATCCGTTCAACAAGTTTTGATCCTATTTTGTCATTATGAGCATCCATTGATGATTGAATTGTCTCATTGCATATGCCTCTAGCCTCGACATAATTATCATGTTCTAGTCTCAGATATACTAAACATATCACCTTGTATTTAATTTTCATACAACGTGTTTGTCGATTAGATCCTGCATCTTGGACAATTAAGAACATACATTCTCTTTCCCAGAGGTTACGGCTCGACTTCATCCAGCCACGACTTAGCCAGAAGCCGATCCTCTCACGCCTTGAAATCCAGGGACAACTCTCCAGACAACAAATCCGCCGCTCCTGCAGCAGAAAAGGACGGAGCTGCTCTCAGCTCCTGGGCCAGATACCTCAAGAACAAGTACGGCAACAGGAGCAGCGGCAAAGACAAGGAGACCGGAGCTGCAGCGAGCAGTCCTTCGAGCAGCTCGGCTGCGGCTAGACGGCTCTCGCTGGGTCTGCCTTTGCGGTCGTCGGCGGAATTAGCTAGTTCTGATGACGATTCAAAAAACATGCA